GGCATGCTGTTGATCCTCCTGGAGAAGGCGGTTGCACTAGTTTTCCTGATACAAATTCAGCTGGTTCTCACTGTTGCTGAGGACAGCTGCTGATCCTTACCTGGAGCATCACTCCCTGGCTCCTTGGCAGATCCCTCAGCCTGGTGGCACTGCTCTTTCACCCCACTTGATACAGATTTGTATGAGACACTGTCGTGGGTTTTAGGCACCCAGCTGATTTTGGGGAGGACATTACCATGGGCTCTAGGTCTTTAGTTGGACTCATGCTGGACCTTGGTGTGGAATCCAGGCCCTCAGCTGGATTCTTTGTGTCTCTAGTGTGGGAACAGATCTCCTTCAGTCTTCTGCATGGGGGGGGGCAGGTATTATAAACTAATCCTGTAAATTATGTGTCCTGTTTTAAGTCTATCTCCTTGTAAATCCTGACTGACAGAGGTCATCTATATTGTTTACATTTCCCACCCCTCCCTCTTTTTCTAGGTGTAGAAACTAATGCACTGTGAGATCACAGGCCCAAGCCCGATCATGTAGCTAGCAGATGCCCATGCTAGGCCTAGAATTCAAGTTAACAAAAAGTCCCTTGAATTGAAGAAAGGGTCTTCAACACCCAGAGGGAGAGAGCCTGACCCTCTGTATCTGAGCATGTTGTGCTTTGGGGTCAAAGCAAATAAAGGCTCGAACTCTTGTACCGTTTAGCAAACCTGCTACAGTACACATGGAGGAGGAGAAACCTGTGTAAGATTGCTTAAGTAGGTTATTTATGCAAGGGACCCTTATATTTTAAACTTTCTAATGAAATTAAAAAGTTAAATTTAGCTTTCATTTGTCCCTGTGCAGTCATTCAGGAACTAATTCAAGATGCTTCCTCAAGAATCAACTCATGGTTCTTCTTCCTTTTAAAAATTAATTTCTAAATGACCACTCCAGGAAAGGCATACAGTGTTTCTGGATGGAAAGGCTTATTCATCTTTCCAAATTTAATTTATAAATCTAAATAGTCAGAGTCACGATCCCAATGTAATTTTCGTTAAATGACATAAATGTTCTAAAATTAATCTGGAGATCTAAGCAATCAAGAAAAGATAAGGATAGTGAAAGAAATTAACAAAAGAACTTGAATGATCAGGTATTAATACATGGTAAAGTTACGGTCATATGAATGGTATATGTATTATGAACATGGGAATATAGGTTCATGGCACAGTAGAGACTGTGAAGAGAATAATTGTACCGCTAAGATTTAAGTATAGAGACATGGGAAAAAGGATGAAATATTCAATAAACAATGTGGAAGTAACTCAGTTATTTGGAGAAAAGTAAAGTCTTACTTTGTCTGGGAGGCTTAGGCTGGCAGATCACAAGTTCAAGGCAGCCTGAGAAACTTAGTAAGATCCTGTCACAAAATAAAATAATAAAATAAAAAAATAACTGGGGATGTAGCACAGGCAAGGCCCTGGGTTCAATCTCCAGCAAAAAAAGGTTAGAAATCTAAGAGAAAATAAAAATATATCTATGTATCTTGGAAAAAAATTTAAACACAATACTAAATGACAATTTAAAATACTTTTGTGTTTGACCATTTAAATATTAAATCTTTGAAATAAAAAAATAAGTGAACCTAAATCTTATTATGGGATTAGGTCCTAGATGTTTTAGGATTTAATAAACCGTAGGATAAAACCTTTTCCCTGGGTTCTTTTTAAATGTAAATGAATCTTAACAAGACAGTGAGGAGGCCTGAGGTACGGTGTTGAGTTAGCTTTCTGTCACTGTGACTAAATACCTGAGATGAACAAGACAGCAAGAGGAAAGCTCTGTTTGGCTCATGGTTTTAGAGGTTTCAGTCCATGGTCAGCTGGCCTGGTGCTTCTGGGCTTGTAGGGAGGCAGCACATTATGGCAGGTGTGCTTGGTAAGGCACCTCATGGCAGTCGGAGCAAACAGACAGGAAGCAACTAGAGACCCAATATTACCATCATGGTCTCACACCCGGTGACCTAACTTCCTGAAACAGCTTCCTGAAGGCTTCTACCACCTCCAAAAACTGCCTCAAGCAGGTGAAGGAGCATAGACATTTTGGATGCAAACTATGGCAGGGGTTGAAAAGTGGAAACAGATCTCACCTAGTTCCACATTTCCTCCAAGTGCCATGGTGTTATGAGGGGAGCTGAAAGCTGGAGGGGAAATTCATGGTGAGTGAGACACCCTGGTGCCTAAACACGGTAACATTTCCAAGGAGGATTCCTTCTCATGCAGAGTCATTCCTCTGAATCTGTTATTTTGTTTTGCTTTGCTTTGCCCCAGATTCTATGGGAGATCAGTAAAGTTCATATGTTCCTAAAGTTTTATAGATTGCCCTTAAAGGAAAGTTTTGCTGTAAGTTCTCATTGTGACTTAGCGAGACTCTTTCTTAAAATAAAAAAATTTAAAAAGGGCTGGGAGCATAGTTTAGTACAGAGGCCCCGGATTCAATCTCTAGTGCTGCAAACAAAACAAAACAGAAAACTGCTGTTTCTACAAGGACAAGTGAATGATTTCCTCTGAATGTGGTTTGGGGGTGGAGAAAGAAATAAGAAGTACTGGAGTTATTAGGTCACAGGTTATGTGCATTTGGCATTTTAGTAGCGAACTCCACAGAGTCAGCCCCCACCTTTATTCCCCCCAGGAGGGGCAGAGATTGCATTTTGACCTGTCAGTCTGAAAGGCTCTCTTAGTAAAATCTTAGTTTACATTTTTGACTGAGATCAGATATCATTTTACATGTTTAAGGAGTGCCTGAATTCCCTTTTCTGGGAATCAGTGAGTATTTTAGAGCTGAAGCTGACCTTAGAGTTGAAGTCCAGCTGTTTAGCCTACAAATGTGGAAACTGGGTGACCACCATTGTGGAAGCCCATGATGACACAAGACCAAATCCTGGTTTCCTGTCCTAAAAGCCCTCAGAGTGTGAGAGTGAGACAAGTCCTGTAAAAGTCTGTGAGGGCAATTGGTTTGGCTTAAGAACCGGAAAGTCTAGAAATGACAGGGCAATGCCATAAGGCCTTGGCAGTGAGACTGAGGTCCATGAGACCCTGAATGCTAATCAGAGTAGCCTGATCAATTGCTCTTGTCACATAATACATTAGAGTCCTCTGGAAACTTGGCGGGAGTGCTTGTACCTTTCCTGAACTTCAGGTACCTCATATATAAAATGCAATTAATATTAGCTGTTTCTGCCAAGCTTGTGAGAATTGGGTTTAATATGCATGTAAAGCAGCTGACACAAACAGGCTTCCCACTCTTTATCATCCTCCTTATATTTGTGTGGCTTTTGATCTGACTTCCTCATTCCCATGGAAGCTCTAGGGGAATTTCGGAAGGACAGCTATGCTCTCGGGGGTCTCTGCGGTGCACACTGTTGTCTTGCATGCACTTTCCAGAATTAACTGTCCGAGATAGCTCATGCAGAAGGGTGCATCACATTTACACTGACTCCCTAGGATTAGAGAAGAAAAGTCTGCTCACTTTGCCACACTCAGCTTTTTAGGTTTTGACTCAAGATCCCGTTTTCATGTTTGTCAAGAGAAAGGAAAAGGCTCCAGATTGTGGAAGGGAAGATAGAAAGTATGCTGACCTCGTCACAAGACCGGTCTCACAGTGGAAAGGAGTGGAAAGAGAGAAGGGAAGGAGGACTGCTGGAAACTTGTGCTCTGCAGTGCAAAGTCTAGATGACTGCCATGTAGTCTTCTTGGGTAGTTCTTGAGTCGCCGGAGTCAAGTTTGTTTTGTTTTGTTTTAATGGGGTTTTCACTTCACTGTTGTTATTCATGTTATCTAAAAAGAATCGGATCATATGCAGAGCTGGGGTCAGAATGGGGCTGCCTCAGCCTTCCCTTTTCAGAGACCATGGAGGCTCCTGTCCTTTAACCCCCTGGACATTGCTCCCAGGGTTAGTTACAGTACAAACTGTTAGCAGCTCTGCAAAATGAATGAAAAAGTTCATCTTTAGAGGCCTCCCTGTTCTACTTCCAATTCCAGAGTTCCTCCAAGGGTGGGTCCTGGCCATCTTCCTGCCCGAGATAGCCTGGAAGCCTGATGACAATGGAGATTCTTAGCCTCCTTTCCATTCTAGGTTTTCTGAATCAGGATCTGGGGGTGAAGCCCAGAAATATGCATTTTCAATAAGCAGTCCCAGGAATTCCTTAAGTTTGGGGCCACTGTTTTGCTACATTGTCTCTTTGTTTCCCTTTGTCTGTTTTGTTCCCTTCAGGCTTCCCACTTCTGCTCATCTGTTTGCTCCCTTCTACTGCTCCTTGATGCCAAGGATCCAGAGTAGTAGTTGGCTGAACTGTCTTTTTAACAAAATGAATTGAATTCCTCTGGAATCTCTTAGCTAGGAGAGGGAAAATGATGCATCTTTCTTATTGTTTTGTTTGTCTCCATTAAAGAAAGCCAGATTAAGAACTATCCTCAGAGTTAGGGTGCAGCTTAATGGTGGAGCCCTTGCCCAGCATGCACAAGGCCTGGAGTTCAATCTTGAGCACAGCAAAAAAATTGAATTAGACTAAGCATGGTAGTGCATGCCTATAATCTCAGCAGTTGGGAGATTGAGACGTGAAGATCCCTGGGTGTTGCAGGCCAGCTGGGCTAAAGTGAATTCAAGGTCAGCCTAAACTGCATAGTAAAACCCTGTCTCAAAAAGATAAAAAATAAAAGAATAAACTGAATTAAATTAAATGAGATCCTCTCTGAGCACGAATTTTGTGACACCATCTTGGCTACAGAGTCTCCAGTTTCTAGCTACTCTTCCATAGAAGAGAGATCTTGAAAATTCCCCAAGGAAGTTGGCCATCAGCAGCCCTAAAATGGAAGGCACTTGTTGATGTTCGCTGGAGGCATTTGTGGAAATTGGGGCTGATAGGACAAAAAGTGGTGCAAGAGAAAATGTGGGCGGTTGGGGGAGTGCTTGCATGGAGCTTGGGGTGGTGCCAACAGCGTCCTGAACCTCTGCTTTTGTCTTCACAGCCACTGAAGGAAGAGCCCAAGATGAATGCAGAGGTGAGTCCTTTACAAAAACTATTCTAAGGAATGCTTTAAAAAAAAATTTTTTTTTGCAATGTCCCATTCTTATCCTTTGCAGAGTATCCTTTTCCCCCCAGAAAGCTTTCAGAAACATCAGCTCAAAATTGAAAATATTTCCCTCCAACTTACCAATTTGATCTTGGCTCTGGATGATACAGGAAGAATTAGGCTCCTGCAATTCTTATCTGTGCCCACCCAGCTTCATGTAGGTCTGAATCCACCCACTTTGGCTAATCTTGAAACAACACTCAGGAGCTGAACGGGGTGCGGTGGGGTGGGATGGGTGCCAGGCCCAGATGCCTGCTTTGTGCTGTTTATGGACTCTTCACTCTGTGTACTCAGACCTGTCTGCATTGTCTCTTTAGTGCTCTCACTTCCTGTTCTTTGCTCCAAGGATGGATCTGGCTTGTTAATCTTTTCTATTCTCTCTTCATTTTACTCATTTGTTCCTTCCTTCTCTAACACCCTTGCCAGTCTAACCTGGACCTTGGTGTTCATCGCTTCAATAGCTACTGTATTGTACTGATGCCTTGAATCCATTTCTCCTGGTCCTGGTCACCACTGCCTCATTTCCATAAACCTGGAGGCTTCCCCAAGGGATGATGGTCGTGGGAGAGCAGCTGTTTGCAGCTGGTAGATATTTCGGAACCCTTATCCAGGGGCTTAGCCCATGCAGCTCTCTGTCCCATTGCCCTGGACAATCAGATCCATGCTTTCATTCTCCTGAATCTCTCCACTCTTTACAATGCCCTCCTCACTCTTAGCATCTGGATCACTTTTTACTTCACAAAGAAACATGTAAACATTCCACCCCACATTGTCTCTCAGTTCCTGCCTCTCCCTGTGTCTTGTTCCTCTTGTTGGATAGAAGGGATGTTGATCAGTGAACAGAAGTTGTATTGGAAACCCTAACAGATTGTATCTTTTGTTTTGAGATAAAGTCTTGCTCTGTAGTTCAGGCCAGCTCTGAACTCATTGTGCAGCCCCAGGCTGGCCTTGAACTCTGCTTCTCCTGCCTCAGCCTCTTGAGTGCTAGGATTACAGGTGTACACCACTGTGAACCGCTCTAATACGACTTTTCCTGTGGTCCAGATAAAGGGCGATTTCGTGGTGGGTGATCCAGTGGCTCAAAGATCTAATCAAGGGCCCAGGATCTTTTCCTCACTCTACTTTCCATTCTAGAGTTTGCACTGCCTTAGGGACCAGTCTCTTTGTGGTTGTGGCAGGGCTACCAGCTACAGGTTGGGCTGTACCCTCCCTCATCCCCTCCCAGCAAGAGAAAGAAGTGTCTCCTGCACTTTTTTCAGGAAAGTAGGAACTTCTTTATTATGAAGTGCCAACAAAGGCCTCCTAAGTTTTATTGGCTGGAATTGGATCACATGTCCACTGCTGGACCAATCATTGTGTCCAAGAAATCAGCGGCTTTGCTGATTGGTTTAGACTAGTCAGGCCCATCCTAGAGAAGCTTCTCCACCCCTAAACCTGGTGGAGGAAGTGGAAGGAGGAGTGGGTATTGGGTTACATCCACCCACACCTGGTCAGGCCATTTTTTTCCAAAACATTCTTCTGCCAAGACCTTATGCTGCCTCCTTAATGATTTCCTTATCAGCTGTGTTATTCACCTCTTTTCCACTAGCTCTTTCATCAATATTTCAAAACAGTTTCATTTTTACTTTCTTCAGAACAAAATAATGTCTCACATCTTTCACACCTTGTGGAACAACTGCTGCAGTTACTTTTTTCAACCCCTTGAGCTGGGCTTCTTGAGAAAGGGAGGAAGAAAAGGAGAAGGGGAGAGAGACAGACAGAGACAGAGGCAGAGAGAGACAGAGAGACAGAGACAGAGAAAGGGAGGAAGATGGCTCTGTAGCTCATTTCTCCTCCCCGAGTCATTGTTGGCCTATCATACTTTGGCTTCTTTTCCCTGCACACATGCAGAGATTGCATGACTGTCACCACAGTCAAGGTACAGAACCTCAGCCCAGATGGCTCCTTTCCATTGCCTCCTTCATAGTTCCAGCCTTTCGACTCTCCACTCCTGACCCCTGCAGTCTGTGTGTGATGCTCCTTTAACTTACTCAATTGTGTTTTGTTATAGTTTATGTCTCATTATCTTTCCTTTTCACACTTGACTTTATCACAATATATCACACACAGTTCATCTACCACACAGCTCCTGGTTGTGCATCCATGTACTCCTGGCCAAAAGCCTCTGGGCAGAATGTTATTACCTGTGTTTTGTAGGTGAAGGAAAGGAAAGGTATGTAGATTGCCCAGAGAAAAAGGAATGGGGAATTAAGGGGCAGAAAGGGAATGGAGTCCTGATGTGACTCCACGAATGCCTTTATTCATGCCTAGACCCCAGCTAATCCTGTCCATGCAGGTCTTCTGTTGTTTCCACTTCATGAAGAGTTTCTTGGAGTCCTCTCTCTGGAAGGGACACGTCCTGCAAGTGAATTCCCTCTGCTCTCTATCTTTTCTCTGGTTACCTTCTGTCCTCTGACTTCAAACAGCTGTCTACGTGTTGTGTACACGTTGGTGTCCCCAAGCATCTTGGTGATGTCTCAGTGTGTTCCCACTGAGTATTATGGCTTGTGTCTAGCTGTCCCTCCAAAGCCTTATGCAGTCGTATGTGGGGCTTTTTAGAGGTAACTGGATCTAGACTATGTGATGCTGGAATCAAGGATGTGATGCTAAACTCAAGGGTGTCCCACCAAGAGTGTGAGTGTTGCCCATTTTAAGGGTTGGTATCCTGGATGGAATAGAAGGGGCAGAAAGAGGACTGCTGTTGTAGTTTGCTACTTCTGCTGGCGGAGAACTCTTTCTCCTCTGTGATGCCTCTCTGCCATGCCACCCTGCCTTGCAGCCAGCCCATTATGAACTAAAACCTCTGCAAACTGTGAGCTGAAATAAATCTTTTCTCCTTTAATTTTGGGAGGTATTTTGTCCCAGCAATCATAAAAGCAACTTAAGACACAGGCTGGCTCAGAGGTTTCTGAAAGGATTGGGATGTGATGCAGAGCTTAGGCAGTCATTGGAACTGTGTGGGAAGGAAATCCCATGCCAGATATGGTTGAGGAAAACTTGTTGTGACTCCAGATACCCTCAAGAGAGGAAAGGTGGAGAGGGATCCTCAGGTCCAAGCTCCAGCCTTCTTTCCTCTCCAGCATGTAAAGATCTCTGTTTTCCCTGCCAACCATTTTATTGTTAAATGTTTTGGGCCTTACAAACAATAGAGGAAAAATATGAACTCAGTCTTTCTGATTGTTTGAAATTGCTTTCTTCTCTCTCAAAGCAGTGGTCTACAACCTATCATCATGTCCTGTATATAAAGTTCTTCTGTAGTAGTAATGTTACATTTTCTTTTAAATTTTTCATCTTTTAAAAAACTTTTCTTCTAAGTTGACAGAATAGATTCTCTTAATCCTAACTTTCTGTAAACTACATTTTCAGGTCTAGAGTGCACAACACCAGTTTCTCTAAGTCCAGGGATAGGGAAGCAAGATTGCTTCATGACTATTCCTTGATCTTGAATTAGTGTTTAATCCAGAATTAATTTTTACTGTTCCTTATGTGTTATCCCTTTTCTCCCCAAACTGCTCCTATTCTTTATTTCTCAAAATATCACCACTGTCGTGTGGCAGTTTACCATGTGTTCAAGATGGCAGAGCATGGCCATCGACCACACAAGGGTTATTAGGCATCTGAGGCCCAGAAGTCCACTCTGTGGTCCTCTCTGGGGGCACTTCTTATGAACTACTTTCTCTGTAGATGTCAGTCCCCTTCCAATTTGTGTTCACTTTCCCTCCCACTTGTCTTTTTTCCTTTTTTCCCCCCTCTGCCTCTGGTTCCTACTCACAGAGAGTAGGAACTGTTGTCACAGAGGGATGGTGTAGTGCTGGCCTTGAACCCTGGGCCTTGCACATTATAGTCAAGCTCTCTACCACTAAGGTGTCCCCTGCCAGCCCTATCCATTTCATTTTCAGTTCTGTCTTTCATTTACAGTTTCATTTGTAGAACATGCCTTGAAGAGGTGTCACATAAAATGAAGATGCTCTAGTAATTAATTTTCTTCAGAAATGAAGTTCTTTCCTTAAGAGGAGCTCTGTTGTTAAAATAGCAGTTTTTGCCCATATCTTGTCTGATTGTGTCTTTTTTCCCTCTTAATTGTGGATTGAACCTAGGGCCTTTGCACTGAGCAACACCCCAACTCTTATTTTTATTTTTTTATTCTGATGGATGGTCACATCTGGATAAGATGCCCAGACTGGACTTGAACTTGTAATCCTTGCCAAGGACTCTTGGAGTGCTGGGATTACAGGTGTACCGGTGCCTGGCCCATGGGTCAGTTTTGCAAGGAACAATATCTAAACCAAACCCTAAAATAGGTTAATAATGCACTCTGACCCTCCACAAGCCAGGTTCAGTGTACAGGTTTGTATATTGTTGACTAATGACAAGACCAGAGCAGTCTGGCTATTTACAGTGAAGCTGTTTCTTAACCGTGTGGCTTTTTTGAAGCCAGCAGGACCTTACTAGCCCGGTGGTCACTGGTCACATGGAAGGTAGGGATTCAGTTGTTAATCTTAGGAGTACCATCAATGCTTATTCTAACTGGGTGAAATATAATAATAATGTAATAATAGCCTAATATCGAATGCTTGTCTCCTTTGGTCAAAAATCAAACAAATGTTTGACCAGGGGTAAGTGTTTGGGCTTTAACTGCTGATTGGTAAAGAGAGGATCAAAAGGACTTTTACCCAGAGGGTTGTTTCCAGCTGTGAGTGTGAGTCACAGCCAACACGCAACTCAGCAGCAGCCACACTTCAGCCACCAGGAGTCGCCTTCTTAGAGCTGCGGGCTGAGAGGCTGCAGCTGCCCTTGCAGATGCTGCGGCTTCCAGGCAGGCTCTGGAGAAGCACTCACTTTGGTGTTGTCAAAGATGGTCAGAGATGCTGCTCTAGGTCCACTGCCCA